CCTGCCTCAGCCTACCCAGTCCCAGTTCAGGGAGGGCAGTCTGATCTGAACTTATCTATCCCAAACACAAGTTCCCACAGGATACCCTTTCTCTCTCAGGATTCCTATAACATTTTTTTTATAATTAAATCCTGAAAACATCCCATTAGAATTTAGTGTTTACATTTTCTTACAGCTGAGAACAGACAATTCCTTCTTGCCAGGAAGGTGTCTTAGGGCAGAGCGTCTGGGCAGCAATGGGGAGAGGGGACTGGCTCCTCCTGCTGGGAGTGGTCAAGTCTCAAGTCTGGAATCCTAAGGCTCAAGGCTCACACCCTGCTATGAAAGGTGCACCTCATCTCCTACAAATGATCGGCCACTGTGCTCTAAGCACCGCACTGACCAAGCGGCTGTCAGCATGAGAACTAGACCATCGGTAAGCCCAGGACACTGTAACAGGCAGATCCTGCTCTTAATGGCTATTATAATTACTGTTATTTGAGAGACGCCAGGCGATACTGCTGCTGCACAGTGTGGCAAGGGCCAGACAACCCGTTTCCTCCTGTTGGCCTAGACTTCTCCAACCAGGGAACAATCTCTTCTTCCTAGTCACTTTGTAATTTGCTTTTAAAAGCTTATGAGAAAAATCCAAGTTTAATCTCTGTTTTTGTACTTCCTGAGTCTACATCCTGACTTGTTTTAGTGTAGGTGGGGTGTTGTTAGTTTCTTGGTTGCTTGTTTATTTTTGGTTTTGTTTTTGTGCTGCGGATGAAGCTGTAAACCGGGGTCTCTTCCTGCACCTAAGGAAGTGTTCAACCACTGAACCACATAAAATCTTTATTTCACACTGGTTTTCCCCCAGGGCACCTCTGCCTCAGGTGTCTTTGATTTTGATTCTCCCTTCTTGCTCAAGCAAAGGGTGCTGGGGCTGCATGGTCACCAGCAGAATACAAAGGGTTTTATAGGTATTTGCTCCCAAAAGGACAGGGAGGGGAGTGTCTTTTACTTAGCCTGACATAAGCTTTTCTTCATGAATTTATGGCGGGTTTACTTCTGTCTGGGTTAACTGAGTCTTAGGGAGCCACAGTAAATGCTGATGGACCGAGCCACTTTACAGAAGGGGTGGGGGCAGCCACAAGAGAGCTTCAGACAAGACCAGATCTGTTTGTATAGATGTGTTTGCTTAGGTTGTAAAAGCCTGAAGAATGGCTTCCCAGCAAGGCTTCGGGGCAGAATCCGATGCTATCAGGAGACACTGTCATCTCCTCACTGTTTAATTAGGGCTGGGGCCTCAGGGGGAGGGCCACAGAATGGAATTCACTGTATGCCTCTGTTCTCTGTACTCTGAGCCTGGGGTCCCAGAAAGGTGCCATGCAAAAACAGTCCCTAATTGTGCTCCTGGAGATCTGGCTGCCAGGTCAGCCCTGAGCTAGATTCTAGTGACAGTGCAGCAGCCTAAGGGAACTAAAGAAGGGAGCCACCTCCTGGTGTGCCTCCCTCAACCTCGTGCAGCCTCCTGGTGTACCTGCTGCAGCCTCCTGGTGTGCCTACTGCAGCCTCCTGGTGTGCCTGCTGCAGCCTCCTGGTGTACCTCCTGCAACCTCCTGGTGTGCCTGCTGCAGCCTCCAACCAGCTTACTGTATCCTCAGTCACACCTTTGCTATTAATAATGATAGCTCTTCTAATGTTTATAGAGGCCCGTAATTTCCCAGACTTCTGCAGGGTGCTGACAGGCTCATCTCTCCACAGCCACTCCCTAATATGATAAACTCTACCCAACGACCTGACTGTGTGCTGTGTGACTCTTGGGCTAGGGGCAGGCTCAAACCAAAACACAGCCAGTGTAGAAGGATCATCAGTGGGAATTCTCCCTTCTTATTTCCCGAGAAGTCCTTAGTATGGGACACTAAGGCCCACATGCCATGGCAGGCCTATGAGGTCAGAGGAAACTTAGGGAGGAACTTAGTTCTCTCCTTGTACTTAACACAAGCAGCACCTTTACCTGCTGAGCCATCTTGCTGGCCCCAACTATTTAAACTTGTGTGTTAGGCACCTGGATTTAGACATAGCCCTTTTCTTTTTCTACAAGTTTTAAATTGAGCTGTATGAACTCACCATTGAATGATACAGTTCTGTCCATCACGATGGGATATTTGTGCTATCTGCTCCATCATCTCCTGAGACACCCATGTATTTTATCAGGGCACACAAAGTCATCACCCTCTAGCTTCACTGAGAAACCTCTGAGTGGGATGCTCCCTCGGGACATCCGGGCATAAACCTTCATGTACATTAGCGTTGACTGGTATGGCTTGACGGTTCATCGCCTGACGGGATGGCTCCAAGTCAGCGTGGACATTGCATTGATAATGGCTTTGTACCAGGTGGTGTGGCTTTGCTCTTCCTTGGTGTGATTGCTCTGACAATATCACTGACCTTTCTGTCACTGACCTTATTCAAATGGACTCGGTAGGTGTGATTACTTCAATAAGTGGTCTTTATACATTTTATGCCACCCCTCTCTCTTTGTAATTATGAAATCCTGTCTCTAGAAGTCAGTAGCTAAAATTTTTGCCTTCATTTTTTTAACCTCGGAGCCATCTTTCATTAGACCCATAACGAACCTCGGTTGAGGTTATTCAGATGAGTGGCGTTTTCCCAAACACTACTTCGGCTACGAAATATTTGAAAGCACGCCTCGCTGCCCCTGAGCCCAGAGCAGTTTTGTTCTTTACAAAAACATGAAGCATTTATTTGAATGGGAGCCGTGACTGCTTCCTCCATCCGAGCCCACCTGTCAGCTCTGCATAAACCCGGCAGTCCAGTCTGCAGCTGGACGTCATTCCCGCTTAACCATGCTTAGCTGAATAGAAATACACGATGGCTTCATGGGAGGAGTTCTTCGCATTTCTACAGAGCACAGAAATGCGGGTTAAGTCGGGGCTTTCAATCCCAGATATCCACTGCACCCACCTGACAATCTTAAAGACAAAGAGTGATGTCCCTGGCCTTCCCTGATGTACTTCTTTGTGGGGGTTGAGACATCAGGATTTTTTTTTTCAAAGCTCACCAGGTTATTCCTGCAGCCAGTCCTAGCTTCCTGTAAAGCACCCCTAAAATCCACATTGCTCTAGCACCTACCCCATGTTTGAGGGCTCCCTATGAGTGGGAACTTCCTTGTATCACCTCAGCAGCCCTCAGACCTCTATGAATCCTGATATGGACTCCTGAGGTTAAGGTTAGCACCTAGAAATCTGCATTGGCGATGCCAGGTGAATTCTCTGGGTGGGGGGAAGACTCTGCTGGGTGTATCTGGGACACAGACCTGGGCACGAAGCCAGGCTTAGGGACAGCCTTGCATGTCAGAGAGTCTGAGCTGGTCGGAACATGCTGAGGGGCCCCAGGAGCGGGGCGGGGGGGGGGGGGGGGCCGCCTTCTTTTGTGATTGAAGACTGATGATCTTTCCAAACAGCATTCCCTTGAATGTTTACACTCCACAGCAAGATCCTGCTTGTTAGACAGGAAGGCAAAGCCCCTGCTCCCAGAAATCTCTCTGAAAGGGAGTTGGCAAGGACTCCCTGGGCAAAATGGTACACCAGTGCCTCCATTGGGCCTGTGACTCCCCATCTCCTGTGACTCCCCCATCAGCTCCCAGGAAGGCCCTCCTCCTACTCCAGTGGGAGAGACTCAAGGAAACAGGGCTAAGAATAGCACCTGGCTTTCTCTGCGCACTCCGCATTTTAAGGACAGCCCTTTCCTCTCCCTACCTGGATGCTGTTATTAACTCCAGCTGGGCTGCTGCGCAGCCTGGGCCATATTAAAGTTTTGCAGAGTGTCCTCAGGACCCCATAAATCAGGGAGGGTAGGCTCTGGGGACACCAGATGAACAAGGTGTACATATGGCTGTGGGTCTCTACTTGGGAAGAAACCAACTTAGTGGAGAAATGACTTATGGGGTCCTGGAGAGAGTAAAAATGGGGAGTCCAACCCGGGAAGAGGACCAAGCTACTCTGGGAGACAGTCAGGAGCCACTTGCCATGGGAGGGACTTAGAAAAGCACCATTAGGGAAACTGGCCCTCGAAAGCATGGGATACACGTTCCCAAACTTCGAGGGCCAAAGGCACCGTACACAGACGCCTCATGCAGTCAGCAGATGCTGCAGGCATGGGCTACTAACAATCCGTCTCAGAGTAGGATTGTGCTCGAGCCAATGAGAATGTTGTACAGGGGGAGATATGGCTGAGGACACACATGTTTGTCATTATCCAATGTCTCATCTTGCTCAGACTTCTGTGCTGAGATGTAAAGACTGGTTGAGCAGTTGTGTCTATGCCAGGGTCACCAAACCTGGGGCCGATGTCCCCTGGTTTGCAGGGCGCCATCTTGTCATCCTCACTTGATGGCGAGAACATTCCAGTCTTCTTCTTCTTATAAAGGCACGAATCTCATCCTGGGCGCCTTGCCCTCGTTACCTTGCCTGATCGCCTCGGTATCAGTGACATCGCGGTGACAAAATACCGGATAAAAGCAATTTCTGTTTAAGATTTTCGGTACACTCCTTCATGGTGGGAAAGGCAGGCGCTTAAGGTAGCAGTTATATTGTTCCCATGGTCAGGAAGAGGTAGGTGTAATAGCTGGTGCTCAACACATTCAGTCCAGGGCCTGCCAGCCCATGGCAACGGGCCTCTCACACTGAGGGTAGTTCTTCACATTTTAGCCCAGTGTCATCATTATTACCGAAAAGGGATGCCCAAAGAGTTGTTTCCATGGTGATTCTGAATCTCATCAAGTCAGCAGTCAAGATGAACCATTGATTGGCCAATGCCTCAAGTGCCTGTCCCAGCCTCTGGGGGCCAAGGATTAGGTGTTCAATGAAACATCTTGCAGCATGCTTCTAGCAGGCAATGAGCATCCTTGACTTGCAAACATTGTAGGCCCTTGGGAATGACATGCCCAGGAACGGCTTTATGGGAGGGCCATCTCGTAGACCCTTAGCTCAGGCTATCCCTGTCTCTGACAGTGCTCATCCACCTGCGGGAAGGGGCTCCAGTCCCGTGTGGTACAGTGCATGCACAAGGTAACTGGACGCCATGGCAATGAGTGCCCCACTCTGTCCAAGCCAGCAGCCTACAGACAGTGCCACCAGGAGGTCTGCAATGACAAGATTAATGTGAACACCATCACCTCCCCTCGCCTTGGTGAGTACCTCTCCTCGCCGACCCTGGCTTCTGGGTGCCAAGGTGCCACGGTCCCCCTGTTGTAAGCCAGAAAGCCACCTTCTTTGAACACTAGAGGTGCCAGTATTTGCTTGGGCTGAAGAAGGTTCAGAGGTGTTTGTCCATCCTCCACACAATCCTTGGGGTATCCTTCTCTCTCTTCTGCCAAGGCAGGAGAGCCTCAACCCTGACCCCCTTCTCTGTGGGGAGTGAAAGCCATACTTCCTTCTGGAAAGAGTCACTAGGATAAATGCGCGGGTCCTCCGTGCCGTGACAGAGCTGCACATAGACGGGGTGGAGACGTGACAGTCTTCCTGTGAGAAGTTTGGCTCCTGGTGCTCAGAATAAGACTGCTTACATGTCCTTAGTCTAGCCAGTGATGGCGGCTCTCAGTGCTCAGAACAAGACTGCTTACGTGTCCTTAGTCCAGCCAGTGACGGGATGACATGAGGGCCATCTAATGCATCAACAGAATACTGACCAAAGGAACTTGTGGAAGGGGTTGCTGGGCTACGCTTTAAGGGTACAGTCCGCTCTCATGGGGAGGTCATGACACTGAGACAAACGGTCATACTGTGTCCACAGTCAGGAAGCAGAGAGAGAAGAATGCAGGTGCTCACCTTCCTCCTTTTTATTCATTTCAAGGCCTCAGGCTATGGGACTAGAGCCACCCACTCTCAGGATGGGTCTTCCAACCTCAGTTAACCCGCTCTAGCTAATTCCTGATGGGCATGCCCAGAGCCTTGTCTCCTGAGTCATCAACGCTCCTGTTAGTTTAGCAGCCCACACTATGCAGAGCCCCTTTCCTGCCACCAAGGGCTCTCTAGGCAGCTTCCTTGTGAGTCAGGGGAGCTGCTGAGCTTGTAGAGGCGACACCCATGTCTGCTGCCAGCATGAGTGTACTTGGTATCTTTTCAGGGACCTCCTGGGTGCAAGGCTTTCTCTCTAGAGGACTAAGACCCTGAAAGAAATGTGAGCCGTTTGTTTATCCTTCAACTTCATGCCTCTGTGGATCCTTTACTGTCCACTACTCCATGTCCCTGTGTTTTATAAACGCCAACAGAAGCAGTACGGTATATCACAAACCAGCTCCTCCAAGCTCAGGAACAAACTGTCTAGTGTCTCCTACTCTGAAACGGCAACAAGGGTACCCAGTCAGGGGTTGGATGCAGAAATGGATCCACAGGAGAAAGTAGCATCTATATAGCCCTAGATGTCCATGAATTTATGTAAGGCTAATATGTACTTGAAGGTAAGAGAAACCAATACAGTCATGGGTTGCTTCTATCTATTTAACCAAGGCTTTAACCTCCGGGCACTCATGTGTTCTTTCCGCTGTTCCCTTAGCTGCTCTGACCTACAAATGCACACGAGACCAGTGGACAGTGTACTGCCGGGTCATCCGAGAGAAGAACCTCTGCCAGGACATGCGGTGGTACCAGCGCTGCTGCCAGACCTGTAGGGACTTCTATGCAAATAAGATGCGCCAGCCGTCCTTTCCACCAAGCTCATGACATATAGCACGGTGCTTGCTCAGTTCTCCGACTCAAGATCTGAGGTCTGGCAGTTAGTGAGTGGAGAGCCCTCACCCCACCCAAAAGCACACCAGCCCTGCAGCCAGGACCCCCAAAGCACTGCTCTGCGCCTGCAGTAAGGCTGCCTCGAGAATACAGTTGCATAGAGCTAGAGAGTGAACTTGGCATTGCCATTCGTCCTGAACGTAATATACTGTTAACGGCCACTGGATGGCTTCCTAAGGAAAAACTACACAAGAGTCACAAAAGAATTTTAACTTCCAAGATCTTATGTACCTCAAATGGGCTCCTCTGGCAGATAATTATTGAGAGAGAGAGAGAGAGAGAGAGAGAGAGAGAGAGAGAGAGAGAGAGAGAGAGA